ACGGAACAACCATTCATTGTGTGGACAGATCACAAGAACCTGGCCTATATCCAGACTGCCAAGCGCCTCAATTCCCGCCAAGCCCGGTGGGCGTTGTTCTTCGGTCGATTCGACTTCACGCTCACCTACCGACCCGGTTCCAAGAACCTTAAGCCCGATGCCCTTTCCAGGGCATTCATGTCTGACCACCACCCCCCCGACCCAGAGTCCATACTCTCTTCATCATGCATTGTGGCAGCAGTGAGTTGGGAGATTGAGTCCCTGGTTAGAGAGGCCCAGAGAACCATGCCGGATCCTGGTGGGGGGCCTCGGGACTGTCTGTTCATGCCAGAGCCGGTCCGCTCACAGGTTCTCCAGTGGGTACACACCTCACGGTTCGCCTGTCATCCTGGTATTAATCGCACGTTATCTCTCGTAAGGTGGCGATTCTGGTGTTCATCCATGGAGTCGGATACATGCGCCTTCGTACGGGCTTGCGTGGTGTGTGCTCGCAGTAAGTCCTCTCACCAGCCTTCCACCGGACTACTTCGCCCCCTTCCTGTCCCACGGCGTCCTTGGAGCCACATTGGCCTTGACTTTGTCACCGGACTTCCACCGTCTCAGGGTAAAACGACCATCCTCACTATCATTGACAGATTTTCTAAGACTGTACATTTTGTGCCCCTACCTAAACTTCCAACAGCCGCGGAGACTGCCAGCCTCTTCGTTCACAATGTTGTCCGGCTCCATGGGATCCCATCTGACATCGTATCCGATCGTGGACCACAATTTACATCGCAGGTATGGAGGGCTTTCTGTAAGGCTATTGGGGCATCTGTCAGTCTCTCGTCCGGTTATCATCCACAAACTAATGGACAGGTGGAGCGGGCCAACCAAGACCTTGGAGTGATGCTGCGGTGTGTCACAGCCCGGAATCCCTCGTCCTGGTGTGAGCATCTTCCCTGGGTAGAATATGCCCATAACTCTTTGTCAAGTGCTGCTACAGGGTTATCGCCGTTTGAATACCTTAGGGTATCAGCCACCTCTGTTCCCAGTCCACGAGGAGGAGGTTGCAGTACCCTCAGTCCAGGCCCATGTTCGCCATTGTCGCAGGGTGTGGAAGGAGGCACGCTTGGCTTTGCTACGATCAGCGGAACGCAACCAGCGCATTGCAGACCGGCATCGGACCCCGGCACCAAGGTACCTGCCAGGTCAGAGGGTTTGTTATCTTCAAGGGATATCCCATTACAGACTTCTTCTAAGAAGCTTACGCCCCGTTACATTGGGCCCTTTGAGATAAACTCTATTATTAACCCTTCAGCCATGAAACTCAAGTTACCTGCTTCGTTGAGGATTCACCCCACATTCCATGTCTCCCAGTTGAAACCTGTCTCGGTCAGTCCACTTTGCCCTCCAGCCGTTCCCCCTCCCCCCCCCCGGATCATTGATGACCACCCAGCCTACACTGTCCGGCGGATCCTGGACGTGCGCCGGCGGGGTCGTGGATTCCAGTACCTCGTGGACTGGAAGGGATATGGCCCGGAGGAGCGGAGCTGGATATCCCGCCAGCTCATCTTGGACCCTTCCCTCATCCGGGACTTCCGTAGGGATCACCCTGGCGGATCGCCTGGAGGCTCTCGTTGAGGGGGAGGTACTGTCACGGCCAGGCCGTGCCTCCTGCTTGTCCCGTGTGTGTATCTTGTGGGCAGGGCTTCGACCTGGTCTCCTCCCGGCTTCCTAATTACAATTTACCTCACCTGCCCAGTCAAACCAGCTGCACTCCATCAACTCATCAACCCAACAGTATATCTACCCCGGTTCTTCATCCACTCTTCGCCAGATCGTTGTTTACAGCTCACGCGGTAGCTAGTAGTTCTTGGCCGCTCTGTTTGAAGTTAATTCAGAGTTTTCCTCAAGTGTTGTTTCAGCGCTTTAACCCTGTCTCTCTGTTTCTGCAGTTTTTCCATCCTCCCGGTTCCCCAGTCTGCCTGCCCTGCCCTACCTCCTCCTGCCTGGATTCCACCCTCACCCTCCCTGGACTTTCCCACGGTGCTCTGGTCATTCCCCCCCCCCCGCCCCTTGGTTTCCTGTAAATAAACCTTTCACCTATAATCCCTGGTCCGTGCCTGCATTTGGGTCCACACTCGCAGTCCCGTGACATACTCGCCTGTTTCACAATGTTATCCACGTGTAACAACGTTACTTGCCTCTGTTTCACAACGTTCAGAAACGAACCTTCAGAAACAGATAAAACATGTGAAAGTTAAGCTAAAAACACTTATTTAATCCCCTCCACTGATCTCGACACTCAGATGTGACACAGACTCGCTATCAATAAACCATTATTTATATGTTCATACTATTTAGGTCAAGCGCCAAAGTCTATACTTTGATGAAGACAGGGAGATGTGGTTAAAAGTAATAAGTGGACCTTTAGCCAACATCATTATATTACTGTTTCAAGGTCAAGAATCATCGTCCATACATTATTTTTTATTCATATTTTTCTTTCATTATCAGTTCAATTTCACCGTAAACATTTTGTTTTGCAGGTTAAACGTGGATAATTAAAGCTGCTTTAATCAGTATTTTCTCAGAGTTGGTGGAGACCAAAACAGCTAAAACAGAACATTGGACTCTCATTTACCAGGTGGACACAAAGACTTCTAATTACTCATCATGTAATTATAAATGATTAACAAACAAATGTTCTGAAGAGCGGCCCGGTCACTAACTATTCTGTCTCCAGTAACATCAGCAAACATAATGTAATAAAATCATGAAGTAGAATACCTGTACAATCAGGTACCTGAATGCACCGTTGATGATTTAATTTGTTCCATTATCATCATGAAACGGCAAAGACGAACCTGCTCCATCTCCCCTCCAGTGAAAACTTTTTTTATATACATGGTGATGCTTTATTTTACTTTACAATGTTATCTCCACATTGAAGAGCGTTTTGTTTTTTGACAAATGTAAACGGTTACCAGTTTGGCAGCGACCGGCTCTTTCTCTTCTTCTACAAATGACTAGTGAAACTTTTTAATTAAATGTTTTTTTTAAATCTGCTGAATGCACAAAATTGTCCTATCTAAATAATTATTGAGAAATATATGTTTTAAAATATATGTATTTGTTTATTTATTGTTGCAGCTCAAGGTTTGATTTATCCACTCACACACCCTTGTTTTAATAATTCTTCTTCTGCAGCGTATTTGTGAAACCAGAGACTGGCCCGGTGTCTCTGCAGCGGTGTCACTGTGTTACTGTGAGTGACGTTAATCACTTGCGGCAGGTGATGCAGATTAGCAGGTATTAAGTGCTCAGTTTAATTGCCCCCTCGTTTCCCAACAGGAAGCGGTTGCACGTTGGCCGGCTGTTGTCAGCTGTTTGTGGGGCTCAGAGAGCTGCTGCTGCTTTCAGGTTCTTCATGTTGAAAAAACAGCATTTGTTTTGATAGAACAAGAAACAAAAACACAACCAGGGACACTGATGAGTTGATCAGGGCTGAAGGAATCCAGACCGGTCAAGTAAAGAAGTCTCACTTCCTAGTATCCAATCTGTGGGAGTCAGTCGGGTCTAAATGTAATCAGGTCTGGTAGGGTCCCTTTTTTCTAAGTCTCAGGTCTGGGGTTCTGATTATTATTAATTTGGCATTTTGCCTTTATTTGACAGAGGAGGCTTTAGAAATGGAGGGAGAGAAGGGTGTGACGTACATCATAGGTCCTAAGAACCCAGGACATTGCAACCACTCGGCCACCAAAGTGTCATAAACCCGATCTCATTATCCTCTGGTCTATTTCAGACCGGGTCTTACGGGGATCAGCTCCCCTTTGGACTGGGTCTCCTTGGGTTCAGGTTCAAGTGGACCACTGAAGACCTTCAGCCATGTTGTGGCTCTCTAGACTGAACACCAAGACAGGCCGCGATCCGATTTATGATCCGACCATCGGAGATGCGTGTACGTGGCGTCATGTTGAATCTCACGTTATCCAGATATGAGACACTTTTGTAACATCTCATACAAGTAGAGCGGTTTTGAGGGGGAAACTGTTTGATAATCAAGAACGTTTGAGCGTATGATGACCTTTAATTAGATGAGGTGATCAATACAACATAAATCAGGCATCTTATTTCAGAAGCCTCAAGACCTTCTTGAAGGCTTATCTAGTGACATATATATTCAAATAATATATTTGGCGTGTGTGCTTTGACGGATAATGTTATTATTTCACACTAAGCCCCTCCACAGGGATCAGAGTGACCTCTGCTTCCCCCTGGAATCTTTATTCATCCACTTCTCCGTACATTATCCCTTACATAATGCATAGTATATGTAACCGGGTCCTGATGGGAGCAGCACCACCTCACAAACCAAGATCACATCAGAGCACTCAATCATGAACGCAGCTCCATGTGTGTATCTGCTGGCTACAGGACGCTTTGGAGATTCAGGATCCAAGTTCAGCACATAAATATGGGTCAGTCAGAGATGCCTAGTTTAAGGAATTGATGTATTTGTAGCAAGCAGTTATACATTTCGCACAAAGGATCTTTGAGAATCTGAGCAGCAACAAGGACTCTGACATTAAATCTAAAAAGGGTCAGAATGAGGGCGGAAGTCCCGATGGTCGGGCAGGACGGATGGCTGAAAAGTTATCGGAAGCACAACAGACAATCTGGAAAATAGAGAATTGGAATGGGCCGGTAAACAGTACACCTCGGGTCTGATATCGTTGAGTATGATTTATAAGCCAACACATTCTCATGTGTCTCATGCTCTGGTTTGCCTGCCATCATCTGACCTCCCACTCCTCCATTGGCCAGTATATATATATATATATATACAGTATATATATATACTGGTACGTTCCCATTCATTCTCTGCCAGATCGTCTAATGTGCTTGCCCATCTGATCCCTGCTTGCCTTTTGGACTTCTGCCTCTTAGTCTGATCCCTAATTGATTTAGGAGTTCTCTTTCTCTTTCTAGTATTTTACCTCGTCCTGTTTCAGACCATAAGCACGACTGAGTTTTTACCTGGTCGTGCTTTTGGCTCCAAACCTGGATATACAGAGCCGGTACTATATGGTAGCGTATTTAATTTTCTTAAACTAAGCTCAAACCTGCACTGGACCGGTGCAGTTTTGCAGCACATCCATTAAAACAGATAATATATAAATAGCCCAGATAACTGAAACTATTTGGCAAAGACACATTTCTATTGAGCCGAAGTCTTTACGTCAATAGAGAGTCTTCTCAAAGTCCAAGTCTTCTGAAGCACTTAGCAAGTCATGATGCAAATCTTTCAGGTCCGTCACCATTAAATCATCATTTACATGATCGGAACCAGATCCTTCCAATGCAGAGCCCAACAGGAAACTTTGTTTGGTAACACGTTCAACATATCAACTTCATAAGGTGATAATGTGTCAATAACGGCTAAACAAGTTCGTTGTACTGCTTTAAGGTGGCCTAAAGAATCATATAATACTGCTTCCTGAACTGGGACTATTCAAGTCACCCAGCTGTCACTTGAAATTGTTCAGTGGTTTTACCAGGTCACAACTTTTCACAACTGTTCAAGTGTGCGATACCGGGATTCTGCAAACCTAGTTTGTCGCCATCGCTTGCTTTTCCTTTGATTGCCAATTTCTATGCCTGTCTGTAACTTGGTGGCTGCATCCTCCTGGATGCCTCCATTTAGAGGTTTCCTTGGCACGTCTAACTGGCTGAGATGGACCCAGAAAACGCTGGAGGGACCACATAGTGTACTGTGTTGAAGTGGAAGCCGAAGTCTCAGCAGTAAAGATCCTAAAACGTCTACTCATGAAACCAAACGTTGTCAAATGCTGTTACAATAGATATAGGTGCATTCTAGCTGGAAGGTAGGGTTTGTAAGTTCTTAAAACAAGTTTTAAAAGGTTTGTCAAAATTCTGCACTTTGTCTTTTTTTACTTTTAGCATCTCTTTATAGTGAAACCTACAGTTTGGGGTTGTGTTTGTTGTTGTCAGGGTGGGGGATGGAGGGGAATCAAATTCTCCTCAGGGCCCCAAAAACCTGTGAAGTCATGTCAGTCCACGACAATAGATGCTGTCTCTACACAAACCCTGTGACACACACACACACATGCGTAAGCATCTGAAACAATCTCTGCTCTGGCGGAGAGCTGAGCCTTCGGGACAGAACCAGCAGACAGCAGCACCACGTTAAACACATCAGAGGAATCTCTTCAGCTTTAACCTGAACCTTCCACAAATCTCTCAGCACACAGGGACCGCCGAGGATATAATAACCTGCTTTGTAATGTTCCTTTGATTATTTTTGATCACGCTTATGTTTTCCTGACATTCGGGTCACTGCACTCCTTTTAACGGGGGACAGAGTTTATTGGTTTGGATGTGGCTGGGTGGAGGAAGGAGGGAGGGAGGGTGGGGGTGAGAAAATGACAAAATCCTGCGATGATTTGATTGTTTTGTGCATGAGAGGAGAGGGAGCGGCTTTGGACGAGGCCGCATGTTGATGAATTCCTTGTGTTTTTTGTTTTTTTTGCTTGTTGCCAGGACGATCATGGGCCCGCATGGCATCAACCGAGCCGTACAGAGGCTGGAGTTCTGCGACTGCAAGAAGGGACTCGGTGAGCTTCTTCCTTTGACATCTCTGACCTCTCAGTCATTGTCAGTTGTCTCTAAGCCACAGTTAAAGAGTGTTTAAATGTTTTCGTGGCAAACAGTAACAGATAATCAACAGATTATTTGTTTTAACACAAGTTTTCCTAACTAACCGGAGCTCGTCTGTAAACAGGTGTGAAGATAATCGGAGGTTACCGAGGGATGACGGGAGAAGAGTTTGGCATCTACATCAAGCGGGTGATAGCCGGTGGGTTGGCAGCCCTGGACGGTAGGTATTTTGTTGGTATATTTGTCTTGTACTGGGGAAAGTTATTGTTATCTTTATTGTTATTATTATAACATTGTCTGTCACTCTCTGTTCCAGGTCGACTTAAGTCAGGTGACCTGATTTTGGATGTCAATAACATCGGTCTGATGGGGGCGACCAATGAGAGGTGAGTTTGTGTTTGCAGGGGTATTTTAGGAGAAGAGGTATTTTGAATTGTTAGCCATCGTGTCTCCCAGGATGAGTAAACACATTCTCAATACCAACTCCACAAATATAAAAGCTTGGTCAGCAGCCCTTCACTTCAAACTATGAAGCTCTACATTCCCCTCTAGTGTCAACCACAGAGACACCGTATACGTCTCTGGTAGAGACCTGTCAATCACCGTGTA